ACGTAATATCGCTCATAAATATTTCCCTCCAGAACGTAAACTTTCTGAATCATTATCAATCTGTCAACAAAGTGCCAATTTGTTTGAATTTCAATCTTGTATCCGCGAAAGCAATTCGATTATATTAGCTGAGAATGACGCAACAACGCCATCTAGAGTTTCAATAGAACAGAAAAATCGTACTATATTATCGGAATATGGGAACTTTTGGGGCGCTAAACCTTCTAGATGGCTATATATCTCTAACGTGCCGAAAAATACTGATCGACGCGCATTAATTAATCTATTATGGGTAAAAAAATTTTTATATTTGTTTTAAATATAAATTATAGTAATTAATTAATCCATAAATAGGCTCAAGGAGATGTACACAATGTGCTTGTTGGACTCTTGGACTCTGAAGGACTTGTCTATATAGCATACTATGATATTAGAGATGCAATGAAAGCGCGCAAAGTACTTCAAGGATACCTACTAGGTGATAACTATTTGAAGGCCGAATTTTGTTCCAAACCATTCTCCAAGAAGGTAAATAAAAGTTTTCACTAGCATATCAAGTAATTAATTAATTACATTTCATATATACCTTTAGGCAGCTGACCTGGACGACTTAGCACAATGGGAATGGGATAATGACGGAATAATTTTATTAAATATCCTTGGAAGAAGACTAGAGGAGCCCAGAATAAAGGTAGGTTCATATATACATGTAATATGAACTAGCATTCTATCAAGTTTCACGTGACTCAAAATAACTGATTTTTCTTTTAGTGCGAATTCAGCATATACGGAGATATATTATCAGTAAAGCCTCTTACTTCGGAAAATTCTCAACGAATGCTGATCGAATACTATGACACTCGCGATGCAAATGATGCCAAACAAATAGCAAACAATAAATTACTTCGCGTAATTATTCTTTTTTTAATTAACATGAAAACTTATATATTTAGATTAAGTTCTGAACCTGTCTCTTTCTCTGAAATATACAGAATGCGACGTTGAAAGTCGAATTCTATAATCACGAAGTATATTCTTGGAGAGCGATCAACAAGTCGTCTAGCGAAGAAACCTATGATACATCTTCGTGCGAGACATCTTCTGATTGCTTGCCAAATGCGACCAGACAAACTGAAGTTCGTCAAAACAATAGCATCAACAACAACAGTAGCATCATCGCATCTGGAAACCGTACGATCGCTGCTCACAATGCAATTGATGCTGCGAAAATAGCACGAGGCAAGCTATAATTTCTTATTTATTTGCGCTCGTTTTCCTAATTGCTAAAATCTACATATATGCTCGTTCTTAGGTGAAGATGGAAGGACAACATTCATGATAAGAAATATCCCAAATAAATACACTCAGGTATATATTTCTTTGAGTTTTGAATAGGAAATTCATCAGATACTTTATCTTATTTTATTTATGTGTTCTATGAATAGCGAATGTTGTTGGAGACCCTCGACGCGACCCACAAAGGGCAGTACGATTTTATATATTTGAGAATAGACTTCAAAAATCGCTGTAATGTGGGATACGCATTTATTAACTTTGTCGATACCAAGTAAGTTTATTTAAAAAAAAAACGTCGATTAATTAGGAATGGCATTTTTCAATCTAACACTTATTTTTAAAATTTTTCAATAATAGCGCGGTACTCTCATTCATCGAGAACCGCGTTGGTAAAAAATGGGATCATTTTAATTCGGACAAGGTGTGCGAGCTCTCGTATGCTAACATACAGGGCAAGCACGCCTTGATCGAAAAATTCCGAAACAGCAGGTAAATAAATATTCATTTTTCTTTTTTTCAACTTGGACTGATTTAATTATTTCATTTCGCTAAATTGTTTTTTTGTCTTCAATAGCGTGATGAGGGAGGCGCCGGAATACCGGCCAAAAATCTTCTTCTCTTATGGGAGCTTGAGGGGGGTGGAACAACCATTCCATCCTTCCCGATAATCCCATAAGGGAAGAAGATTTTTGTTTTTTTAATTTTTATATAAAAAGTAAAAAAAATGTAAAAAAAATAAAATCCAAAAAATTACATCACGCTGACTGCAGATGCTATCGACCCTTTATTTAATGTCAACCTTTATAAGAACAACTCTAGATAAGAACTGGATTTCTGGCCCAACCATATTCTTATAAAGAAGTTTAATTGTATTTGTTTATACGCACTCGGGAGTGGGTTATATGTTTTAATAAACAACCTTAATCTCTTAAATCACAAAATTTCTAAATTGATAGTTCATTAACTATTTATAATATCATATATTTTTTTGACTGGAGAAATTCTGACTATGCTAATGACAACTACCATAAAGCGCTGGACCCGGGTACTGCCACACTATATAATATCTACACAATAATGTTATGTCAGAATTCTTTTTCCTCCCCTCTCCAATAAAAATTAGTAACCGTCAATACCTGATTTAGTATTTATATACGACTGGAATTTGGCCGTGGTGTAGCAATTGTGGTGACTAAGTGAACTGCACTATACAATATAATAAAACTCACTGAATATGATGACTTAATAGTGCTGACTTCTTAATAAAGCTCTGTTCGGGTCGGGTTGGATCGGATTTGAGGTCAACACGAACCGATAATTTCGGGTCGGGTCGGATTCGGTTCGGGTTTGATCCGAAAATCGTAAAATAGTTTTTCGTTAATAACTTTTATTTTTACTAAGACACTTGTATTTTGTGTCTAAGTAGAGTTGTTCGGAATGTAATTGTGTAAATTTTCGTTTAATTCCAATTAATATTGAACGAAAATAACGATTTTTATGCTGACCCGAATTATTTCGGGTCGGGTTTGACACCAATCCGACCCGACCCGAAATGTGCGTTCTGGGTCGGATCACGGATTGGAACCGACCCGGTTGGAGCACTACTTCTTAATTAGTTTGTTTATTATGTTAAAGTGAGCCCGCAATTCAAATATTTGTATTTTATAAAATATATAAACTTATTTACTAAATAAATACAAAACTTAATTCATAAATATGATAAATAGGCCTTTTCTGAGCATATTCATGAATTAAATTTTGTATTTACTTCTTAATAAATATAGATATTTAATGACTTAAAATTTTATGTATAATAGTAAATATATTTAGTTTTTACATTAAAATAATATAATAGCAAAAAAATTTATTACGATTTGGAAGTATTCTAAATGTGAATATAAATAATTATTTCTTATTATAATTAAGATAATTTTTTTAGAACATTCTAATATAAATAGAAAATTCTAATATAAATAGAGCATTCTAATATAAACAGAACATAAACAAATACTTTAAATTGATATATTAATATAAAAAAGTTATAAATACAAAATTTTTAAAGGAATTATCTAATTAGAAAGCTTTTACTATTTTTTATATATTGTTAAAAACAAGTTTCAGCTAAAAAAATGAATAAAAGTTATTTTAAAATTTTAATTGACTTTTTTAGCTGAAATATGCTTCTTAGCAATATATAAAAAATAGTAAAATTTTTTAGTTATATAATTTTCTTTAAAATTATTGTATTTTCAACTTATTTAAGTTAATATTATAAGAAAAATATAAATATAAATTTATTTGTTTACATTTTATTTATATTAAAATATTCTAAAAAATTATCTTAACTATAAAAAAATAATTATCTCCATTCACATTTGAAATATTTTCAGATTATATTAATAAAATATCATAAAAATACAAGTTTTTAATTTTATTAATAAAATTAAAAACTTTTATATAAAATAAAAACTTGTATTTCTTATATTTTTACTATAATTTTTTTGCTGTTGCATTATTTTTGATTGTCTATTTTAATATATAATTTATATATTTTTTAAATTCAATTTCAAGAATATTTATAATTATAAATTCTGTTATATAAAACTTTTTATAATTAAATTTTATTAAATTTTAATTTTAGTTATAAAAAAAAGTTTGCATAAGAAACTTTATAATTAGAAATATTTTTGAAATTAAATTTGAAAATCTATAAAAGATACATGATAAAATACAGATTCTTACTTTATTCTAATGTAAAAAACAAAAACTATTTATTAATAAAGATAAAAATTTTATTATAAAAATCTTTAATGTAAAAACAAAAAATATTCATTAATAAAATAAAATTTTCATTATATACAGATAATTTCAATTTTTACTATAATTTATTGTAGAGAAGTTAAATTTCTTTATACTTATTTTATAAATAAAAAGTATTTATCGTTATTCTAAAGAGGTGCGACTGTATTACCAATTACTCGTGAATCACCAATTAGGGAAGTGTCCTTTATCAAGTGATTTCCATTTATTATGAGGCTTACCCTCTCTTCACCTGACATATAAAATATTATTGATATATTATTTATATTATAATCTGATATTCGTTCTGACCCTTTCCCCCCAAGTGATAAAATACATGTATAATAATTGAAATACAGAAATTTAATCTTTCAAAGGATTCTTTTGATTATTATGTAACTATTTTATACAGCAGAATTTGCTCGAATTGTGTAAATTCCGCACAGGTCACTAAAATTAATAATGATTTATACATATTTTTGGAATTGTCGTAGAGTATTTAATAACAAATATGACATGTTTGACTGTCGTTTGCACGCGGAATTCACCGTTGTTTAACCGCTTTTGATTCTGTTGTCGTAAACTTCTGTATTTTGCCATCGAACTCGTTGTCATTTGTTCACGCTACAAATTGATTATAGATCTAGTTTGATTTCAGACTAAGAAAGAGATCTTATTTCGTGTTAGAATACGAGGAGATTTTATAATATGATTACTATAGGAGTCGCCAAGCTTTTGTGTTATAGTGACTATACTGCAATTGTTATTATAAAGGGAGTACTTTTCTATAAAAATCGGAACCGGATGATAGTGTGACTTAAGAGGAGGTGAGTGAATATGGGAGGAACAACTGCATAAAATTTAGAAGCACAGAATACGTTTTGTATTGCATGAATGATCAAGAAATAAGTAACAGTCATTTTTCAATTTCAATTTTGATTTGCCTTAGCAAATCCTCCCTCTGCTGATCTTTAATACTTTACTGTTGCGTCGAATATATTAATTATTTAAAGAGGGGTTTTTCGCAACAGGGATGAGAGCTAGACTAAATTATTTACGAGCAAAGTGTTTCTTTGAGCGTTCTAAAGGTTTCCCATGGCGACTTGTATGCAAATCGACCTTTTTAATATTAGGGGCGTTTCAAAAGAAATAGTAAACAAAGTAATTTTGTAAAGAAAATCAATAATAAAATTCTATATATCGTTATTTGTTGGCTATCAGAATAATCTGAAACACAACAGGACTTATTTGCACGGCCTGTACAAAGTAAACAAAAGTAGTTCAACAGAACTTATTGGTATGGCCCGTCCAAACTAACAAGTCAAAAGAAATCGACGCCTTATTTAGAGTGGAGGAGCATTCACTACTTGCAATTACTCACAAGGTTTGAAGTTTGATCACAAAACAAAATCAAATAATAGTGTATTCACAAGTATTATTATTACAAGTAAGAACTTTGTTATTTTATTTGATAGTTTATTAGATCAAAGCATGTCTTCTCAGAGACTCAAGAACGCTACTATATACAATTTTGAATTATACGCTAATTCTACGGTTAGCATTTTAAATTTATGGTTTCTCTTGAAATTTTCTAGAAACAATTTAGCAATAATCGTTCAATGTTTTTCAATTGTCCAGATAATTGTCGTCCTCTAGATAATCAAGGATTTAATGTCACTGCGGTAACAATACCACTCGCAAGTTTTTTGTTATCTTTTCGCACGCCAATACCATTTTGATAACAATAACCAATATTACTTTATCCCGAGCTACTTCCACTTTCTGCAGATTTCAAATACGAAGCTTTTTTATCATCTTTTTGCATAACAATACCAATTTGATAACAAAAACCAAGAAAGCTTTGTCCAATTGCATCTCCAGCATTTACCGGTTTGGAATATCATTCAAAAGCTTTTTCGTCATCTTTTGCACGCCAATGCCATTTCGATAACAAAAACCAAGATATATTTGCACAGTTGCATTTCCAGCATTTGCCGATTTTGAATACCATTCAGAAGCTTTTTTGTTACCTTTTTGTACGTCAATTCCATTTCGGTAACATACACCAAATTTATGTTACCTTAAGCTGTTTTCACCCTCTGCAGATATATTTTTTCAAAGTCAAAATTTCAACAGCTCCCCTGCTCGACCATGGCCGTTTACATGAGCTTTTTGATACCATTTGAATATCATTTCGAGATTTACTGGAATTCTAAATCTGTATTGATAATGATTCAGAAAGTTTACGTTCTGGAGGGAAATATTTATGAGCGATATTACGTAATATTGTGTTGTTTAGACTCTTGTGTGAGGAAATCTCATTGTCCTCAACTGAGTCGGAGATCTTTGGTGATTCAATTTGTGTATTGAATGTTTCGGACGTCGTTGACGATAACTGTTGATCGTACTTCGATTCCATCGAAGGAATAATATCCAAAAATGGTTTTAGATTTATTAATAATGGTGATTCCGATTGTGAAAAGGATCTTGAAGTTCTCAAGATATCAACAGGAGAGTCCATTAAGAGGGTCGAATAAGGAATATTATGAAGATTTGAAGAATTTGGATGGGTGGAGAAATTACTCAATCGATCTATGCAAGGACGCGTATCGGACGCTGAAATTTCGGATTTTCCGTCAACCGGATCAGATTCTTGTTCATTATTCAGTTCGGCGCCGATTTCCGCTGATTTTGATTCTACAATGCCTTCAGTCAATGCTTGCTCTTGTGATGGAGAAATGGGAATAAAATTTTCAGTGTTCATCTCGACACGATCGGAGTCAGCGATTAACGCGTTAATTTGAGAGAGTGAAATCGAAGTTGAATCCTCACTTTCTATTGATGACAGAGACACGTCAAAAGACGCATTTATTGATGATGATTGGATATTTGGATCCGTCATGATAGCAACTGATGAGCATTCAAGAAAATTTGTTTCCTTTTCAATCAATAGTTCGTCCATTTCTATATCCGACTCCTTCTTAGTTGAAGGTTCTTGAGCAAACTCTGGTTCTTTTTTTGCAGACAGTAATGCTCCTGTTTCTTGTAATTCTATATCCGACATGTTCTCAATAAACCAGTCTTCATGTGAATCGATTTCCTCTTTACTGATTAACGATTGATTATCTATTAAATGAGATTCGTTTAATAAAGCTTTCATATTCGAGTCCGATGCTTCTTCATCAACCGAGTCCTCAGAAAAATCCGGTTCTGATTCATTTATTGAATCTACCAAACCAGGATCCAACGCCAAGTTTTCGGGTGATTCGAGATCGTTTTCATTTGAAATTTCTGTGTATTGTGCAATAACGACTGTAGGATCTTCAAGTGGTTTGGTTTCATTTGATGATTCTCGTATTTCTAGGTTCAAAACCGTTGCAGCTAATTTTGCCGGTAAATCACCTTTATTAATATTTGGTATATTCATGTCAATTTTGTCTGTAACTGAAGATTTTTGAAAATCAGCTTCTTTTTCGGTTGCCGGTGTATCTGTGTCTGTATCTAATGACACTTCTGCTGGTGTTTCCGTCTGATTTGATATTGATTGCGTATTTGTATCTGATACAGAAGCAGCTGATGCTTCTCGGTCAACTTTTGTTGCTTTTGTAACGGTATATGAAATGGAAGAATTTTTTGATAAATATGACTCTTTTCCATTTGATGAAGAGGATTCTGTAATCGCGTTTGATGCAATAGTAACAGCCAAATCTTTTGGTCTTTTCTCAGTTGTTGCTTCTTCTGACATGATATTAGTTGAGGCGTCTTTTGTTAAGTTATATTTCTTCTCATTTGATACTTCTGTGTTTGACGGGATCACCGCTGAAGTATTCTTAAACGTGTCGCGCGTTTTTTCGTTTGATAATGATTGTATATCTGTTCCCGATGAAACTAATAATTCGAATAAACGAGCATTTAGATAGATGTGAATCTGGGTTTGATTGAGAAGTAAAAATATCGAATTTGATCAATAATTACCTGCTGCATCCTCAAAAATTGTTGTAAAAGACAAATAATATTGCAAAATTTCGTTTAAGATAATAATGACAACGATGCTATATCCGATAAGTAGTAAGACTATATCAACTGTTATTCAGTAATCGAAGGATTAGCATGAAAATGAGCTTTGTGGAGAATTCATGGAAATCGTTATGCTTATAATACGTACCATCGGAAATGATGTTCTTGATAGAACGAAAAACTTCGAGGGATCTGATATCCGTTACGTTCATTACTAATGTTAATTGTACAGATTGATCGTCAACCTTGATATGATAAAGACACGTGATCAATATAAATTACCGGTGTTACAAAATAACGATTATAATCGCAGCAATAATTATTGATGTTTTTTCTGCTAAAAGTTATACGAGAAGTGATTTAAAGTAGGAGAAAATGAATCTAACACAAAACAATGTTGAAAGCAAAAAATCAAAAGTTTTAACATTTCAACCACTGACTTATTTTGTGTAATAGGTTAGCAATAAATACAAAGAATAAGCCAGAAATGTTGTACTAATTGTCTTAGTAGGTTAACTCAGCTTATACTTTTTTACACGTTGCTCACCTTTGAGAATAAAACCTGACGAAGGAAACAGAGTTTGGATTGCAAGAGAAAGTTGGGGAGGTGTTATGAAAATGTTAAGAATTTTTCCAGGGTCGCTGAATCATTAAATATTGAGAATGTTTTTATACAATTGAGTTGGATAAAATATTGTTTAGTCTGCAATCGCACTAGTAGATCACTTATCAGTAATATCCACGAAAATACGTTTAGATTACATCATATTTTAAACGATGTTTGATCTTTTGCCAATTGTAGTAATCTGGCTTCGATACAACATACCCGGGGTTTAAGAGGTGATTACACATGATAGTAATGGTAAACTTTTTTGTTTAAAGAGTCAAATGATCTTATAGTAAAATATCCAACTCACTTATTAGATTACGAAGACATGTATTATATGGTTTTGTCTGAGGATTTGTTTATTGACAACAGTCATAGGAAAATATCCTATAAGATTTTGTCAAAGGACATGTTTTTTAAACATGACATGTCCTTAAACAAAATACCCATGGACATGAACATGCATATAGATATTCGGTACTGTACTACCCCACATTTGGTAATAAGGCATAGATTCAGGTTATGGTTATAGAGTATAGTTGTATCATAGTACCGAATCCGTGTATACTTTGTTAAATTATGTGAAGTTTATACACACATCCTTCAATATTTTATCAGCTTCTCTCCTGGTGTATTATACCTAATCAGTGACCATACCAGACCGAATATGTGGCGAATAACTATATACTGTTAGAATAAGGGTAAAAGAGTAAGATTAATGCTGGCCGAAAGATGCTAAATTCACATTAATCCACCAATATCCCATTCCAAGACATTTCGACAAACAGTCCCGGTCATACTATATGTATATGGACATGTCCTGTGATATTAAAATAAACCTCTTAAAGTTCACTAGCTCGGTACTGGGCTTTAATTTATAATAAGAGACGATCTAAAGAGGATTTTCTTTATGATTTGAGCAGCAAAATTTTGTTTCGTTTCAGGGAAAGTCCGACTTAGAGACTTACTGTGATGATCAAAATAATACACGTTGGATTTATATAACATAAATTTTGAAAAAAAAAACTTGACTACCATCACACTGGGAAAGTATGTACCCAAACACGAAAGTAACTGAAATAAAAAAGAGACTCGTAAATCCATCTGCCATCAGTTTGTTCACGCGCATGTCATATTCGATCGTCGGAATCTTCGATAAATTTTATTAAAATTTGCAATTAGCATTTCAATATCGATAAATCTTTAATAAGAGTATTCTTGTAGTGAATTCAATAGTTAATATAAGTAGAAGAATTAATTGTATATTTTATCATTCTTGAACTCAATTTGAACGATTTGAACGAGAAATTTGAATCTCCTGTACAGTCAACATTAGGACTGAGCTAAAGCCCGTTATATCAAAAATAGCATATAGCGAAAAGCTCGCGATATAACATGTTACTAACTGATTTTTGTTGGATCCCGCTATATGAAGACAGTAATTTTCCTAATAATTTATTTTATATTACAACAAACTCCTTTTATGTTATAATAATTTATTTGGTTCTCATTTTGAATTGGAATATCTGCTAGTTGCTACCTAAGAAGGTAATAGATGAGTATTGGAAGGATTATCGTTTTAGACTATGTCGAATCACTCAATTAACACGTATTTAAGAAATATATCAGGGTAGTGTTTCGGACGGAACTAGTTTCGCTCAATTTGATCCACAAAATGTTTGCAAATTAGGGTTTCAGATAGTTTCAGACTTATAGGGCGAAACGTTTTGGATTTGAAAAATAATCCACTAGATCAGGGAAAGATATATATAAAATTTACGAGTATTTTATTATAATTTTAACGATGAATATATTATTGCGATTTTATTCGAGGATTATATTTTATCTTCGAAAAAAACAACTTCTACCGCGACGAATCACTTTCATATATATATTCATCCCAAGTGATTTGTCTTTCCCACACGCGCATTGGCTTTGTCTGATCCATCCATTATCCCACTTCATCTCCATTTTCCCCATCAATAGCATGCACATTAGCTTTGCCTGATATATCATACTTAATATCCTGACACCCTACACAGCAATTAATATTTTACCATCACAATCATCACTAAAAAGCGAACTCAAAAATGGAATCTAACACACATTATGACGTTTGTCTACTATGTTATCAACTATCTCGACAATATCAATGGGGAGTAAGAACTGAATACTTTGCATTTCACTAAAACGTAAAGACATTCTTGTGAATAAATAAACTTGATGAGGTGATGAAATCTATCCGATGCGATTTAATCTTTATCACGAAATTAATTTCAATTCCAACTGATACGGGGAGGGTTACCGTTACATTTATCTCTAAAGTGTGACAAAATTTATTTTGATACTAAGGTTGTTTCAAGCGAATTTGATTTTTAATATACCAGACGAGATCAAAGAGAGTAAAAGATATCGAGTGTCAAGTAAAATTACATTCATATAAAACATTATAACGAAAGAAAATGGGGACTAGTGCTCCTGATTTGAACCTTGGATTCGGGATTCGATTCAAAATGACTGAATCTGCGTTAGTGTTCGTTCAAAATTCGAATTGTCACTAAATCAAATTGAATCTTCTGATTCGAACCATACAAAATCGAACCAAATTGGTGATTCGAATCGATTTATTCAAAAATTTGATTTAGTAAACGATAAGTAAATGAAAATAAAATTTGCATTAAATGATTGTAATTATTTAATGAATAAAATCTATTTCCAATAAATCTTGCCAATTTTTTTCCACATTCTGTTTCTTAGTTAGTAATTACTAAAAATCAGCTAAAATCAATTGCTCAACTTATAAATTTAATAATCACACACATTATTATTAATTGCTGTTAATGTCAAGTTATTATATCCCAAATTTACCAGATCACTTTTTTTAAATTCAATATCCAGTAATTTTGAAATGTGATATCTTGACATTCAATAGTTAAATTTGAGTTAATTTGATATCATTCAATTTATCTTATCAAGAAAAATTGAATAATATAAATTTTATATATATTCAATTATTAAATATTAAAATATCACATTAAAATATTACCAAATAAGTTTTAAATAATTAATAATAAATAACTTAGTATTTGTTATAGTTTTTAATATAATAAGTTTAAAAAAATAATAATTTGAACTTGATAATTAATTAAATAATACTTCAATTTATAATAATTCAATATAACAATCTGTCAAATTGGTCATGTTGTCTTTCAGTTTTAGAATTGCTTTTTTAATTGGAATTAAAATATTAGTAATAGTTTCTATATCATTAAAAATCTGTACTTATTGATAATTATTTTAATAGCTTTATTAATAATTTTATTATAATGATTATAATAAATTTATTATAAATTAATTAGTATATAATTATTTTAAAAGATTATGAGGTATTAAATTAAACAATATGCAATATAATAAATATTAAAAATTTAGAAAAATTAAAATTAAATTGTATTTCAAGCTAATATGATATTTGCACTATTATTTATAATAATAATAATAAACTTTTTAATTCCAATTTTTTGAAGAACATGTAATATTTTTTTAGTAAGTAAGTTATCAGTATAATATTCTTTTGTTAAATTATGAAAACAAAAAAAATATTCTTTATATATAAATATTAAATAATAAAATTCTATAAAAATTGATTGTTAATGATATCTAATTATTGATTGCTATTATAAATAAAAATTAATACAATCAAATCTCTCTATAGTCATCATCCTCAGAAAAGCAAACTTTGGTAACTATAGAGAGGATATGATTATAGAGAAATTTTTTTTACTATGTTTATATGTAAATAGGAAAGCAAAATAGGGTGAATATAAAGAAATATAACTATAAATAGATATAACTATAGAGAGATTTGACTGTAAATAAAATTACAAATAAAATAAATAATAATATTAAATAATATTTATTTAATATTAAATTATTTTTTTATTGAAAAATATATTGAATTTTAAATGTAATTCATGCAATTTTCTGATTTAAAAGTACTATTACCAATTTTTTTTATAATAATAATTGATATTTAGCATGTAAAGCTTAAAATTACATGTAATAAATATTTTAATTAAAATATTATCAATAATTTTTTAATATAAAATTGAAATAGATGAATTTTCAAAGTTTTATTCTAATAATATTTGCTTTTTAGATTCAAAAAATAAAGATTAAATTAATATAGAATTTGTTTTTAATATTTAATATTTTTTCATGTTAATTTTCTATAATGAATTACAAAATTATAAAATAATTAAAATTAAATATTTTGAATAATATAATACTAAATATATTTGAAAAATCAAAAATTTAGTAATTTTTCAATATCTTTATAATAATCATATAATATTTCTTTACCATATACAATATATTCTTATACTAATAAAAATTTTCTTTCACTATATTTTTTAGTATTTTGTAATTCAATACTAATAATTGATAATTCAGTTTTATTATTATTTTTACTAGAAAAAATAGCAATAAATAAATATAATAATAAAAAAATAATATTAAAAATTAGAAAAAAAAATATAGAAAAATTGTGAAAATATATATTTAATATAATAATTATATATCTAATTCAAAAAAATAATAATTATA